CCGGCTGCTGCCATCAGTGCAATCATAGCTCACTTCAGCGCCGACCTCCTGGGGCTCAAACGATCCCCCCACCTCAGCCTCCTGAGTAGCTGGGACTACAAACGCACCTCACCACACCCAACTAATTTTAAATTTTTGTAGAGATGGGGTTTTGCTCTGTTGCCCAGAATGGTCTTTAACAACTCCTGGCCTCAAATGATGCTCCCACCTTGGCCACTCAAAGCATTAGGATTGCAGGTATGAGTCAGTGCGCTTGGCCTCCATCAATGTTTGTGACTCCAACACGTCCACCCTAACCTCCAGCCCCAGTCCCACTTGCCTCCACAAGGAAGTCAAAGAGGCGGGCATAGAGCCCCTTGGCCAGGGCGTCGCGGGTGTAGGCCGCCTGCTCCACGTTAAGGGTCACGTCGATGGACTCACTGCGCCCGCCCCAGCGGCTGTCCATCTTGCGGCTGGTCAGCTTCTCCTGCAGTCGCCCGCTGTCAATGCCCAGCAGGTAGGCGGGAAAGGCCAGGACTACCAGGGTGAAGGTCAGGGCAAAAACGGGGCAGCTGGTTGGGCTCTTGAGCCTCCTGCATGGGCCTCCCATTATCCCCATCTTGCCCAGTGATGCCGACGTTGTCCTCGTGGGCTCTCAGCCTCCTGGGGGCTGAGCTAGGAGGACGCAGTTCACATACACACAGGCCTCCATCCCACCTTCCCTGGCACCCACTCACGGTCCACGCTCTCCACTCGGGCGTAATTTCCGTCTTCACAGAAACTGATGTTTCCCAGGTGCAAGATTCCCGCCACGAGCTGCAGGACCAGCTGCTGGGCACTGGGCGGGATTCCAATGACCTGCATGGCGCTCTGTGGGTACAATGGAGGCAGAACCTGTGCCTCGAATCCCAGCCTCCAACCTGCCTCCAGGGTCAGGCTTTCGGGGCCACAGCACAGACTCAGGGAGTGGGCACCCTTGGGTCCCTGTCCTACCCCTTTCAACCACTTGCTTTGTGACCTTGGGTAAGTACCTACACCTCTCTGGGCTTTGTTTTTTATATTTTTAATTTATTTTTATTTATGTATTGTTTTTGACACGGAGTCTCACTCTGTCACCCAGGCTGGAGTGCAGTGGCACAATCTCAGCTCACTGCAACCTTCACCTCCTGGGTTCAAGCAATTCTCTGCCTCATCCTCTTAGTAGCTGGGATTATAGGTGCCTGCCACCATGCCCAGCTAAGTTTTGTATTTTTAGTAGAGACATTTTCACTATTTTGGCCAGGTTAGTCACCCACCGTGGCCTCCCAAAGTGCTGGGATTACAGGCATGAACCACCGTGCCCAGCCTTATATTTTTTATTTTGCAGACAGAGTCTTCCTCTGTTGCCCAGGCTGGAGTACAGTGGTGTGATCTAGGCTCACTGCAACCTCCTCATCCCAGGTTCAAGCAATTCTCCTGCCTCAGCCTCCTGAGTAGCTAGGATTACAGGCGTGAGCCACCATGCCCGACCTGGGCTTTGTTTTCCTAAATTTTTTTTTGAGATCAAGTCTCACTCTGCTGCCCAGGCTGGAGTACAGTGGCATGATCTTGGCTCACTGCAACCTCTGCCGCCCGGTTTCAAGCAATTCTCGTGCCTCAGCCTCCCCAGTAGCTGGGATTACAGTCATGAGCCCCTCCCCCTGCTTCCCTGCCTAATTTTTGTATTTTAAGTAGAGACATGGTTTCACCACGTTGGCCAGGCCAGTCTCGAACTCCTGCCCTCAAGTGATCTGCCTCCCAAAGCGCTGGGATTACAGGCATGAGCAACTGTGCCCAGAATGGTTTTGGTTTCCTAATTTGTAACTCAGGAGGGCTCCCGGGGTGAGGTCTGTCTGTCTGGGGGCTGGAGTGGAGGCGGGTGCTCACCAGAGTCTCACCAAAGTCGCTTCTGTCGTCAGTGCCGTCCACCTGGTAGGTGTCCGATTGGTTGAGGTAGTAATAGTAGTCAGGTGTCATGAGCCCTAGGTTCTGCCGTTGCTCCTGTGAGGCTCCTTCCAGCAGCTGGAGGGTGTGCAATGCTCATGCATCTGGTGCTTGCCTGGCTCAGCCCATGATCCCCACATCTGCCCTGCCCTGCGCTCCCAGGTGTTCCCATTGTCTACCCCATTGGGCTCCCTCTGCCCCAGCCCCTTCCCTGCACCTGGTAGTAGATGTGGAAGTTCCTCTCGTTTTCATTCTGCATGACCACGCGGGACTTCTCCAGCAAGAAGTTGGAGATCTTACCCCCATCTGGCTCCCCACCTCGGCTGAACTGGATCTCAAAGTACTTGCCCTGAATCCGAGAGAAGCATGTCAGCAACTCAGCGTCCTGGGGTGCAGGTGGGGAAGGGATTGGGGATGGGTCTTTTTTTTTGAGACAGAGCCTCGCTCTTGTTGCTCAGGCTGGAGTACAATGGCACAATCTTAGTTCACCACAACCTCCACCTCCCGGGTTCAAGCGATTCTCCTGCCTCAGTCTCCTGAGTAGCTGGGATTACAGGCATGCACCACCACGACTGGCTAATTTTGTATTTTTAGTAGAGTCGGGGTTTCTCCATGTTGGTCAGGCTGGTCTCAAACTCCTGACCTCAGGTGATCCACCTGCATTGGTCTCCCAAAGTGCTGGGATTAGGGGATGCATCTTATGAGCCTTGTCTCTCTTCCCTTCTTTTTTTTTTTTTTGAGACAGAGTCTCATTCTGTTGCCCAGGCTTAAGTGCAGTGGCACAACCTTGGCTCACTGTACCCTCCACCTCTGGGGTACAAGTGATTCGCCTGCATCAACCTCCTGAGTAGCTGGGATTACAGGTGCCTGCCACCAACGCCCAGCTAATTTTTGTATTTTTAGTACAGATGGGGTTTTGCCATGTTGGCCAGGCCGATCTTGAACTCCAGACCTCAAGTGATCTGCCCATCTCAGCCTCCCTAAATGCTGGGATTACAGGCATGAGCCACTGTGTCTGGCCATACATTTTATATTTTATTTTATTTATTTTAATTTTTTATTTTGAGACAGGGTCTCAGTCTGTTGCCCGGGCTGGAGTGCGGTAGCTTGGTCATAGCTCACTGCAGCCTCAATCTCCTGGGGTCAGGGTTTCTCCCACCTCAGCCCCCTGAGTAGCTGGGATTACAGGCGCCTGCCACCACACCTAGATAATTTTTGTATTTTTAGTAGAGACCAGGTTTCGCTATGTTGGCCAGGCTGGTCTCGAACTCCTGGATTCAAGTGATCTGCCCACCTCAGCCTCCCAAAGGGCTATGAGCCACCTCACTCAGTCTGCTTGCCTTTCTCACCAGCTGTTTCTCACTTTGGCTCAAGCTGTGTCTGTGGCCAGGAGTGCCCTTTCCTCCCTCTGTGAAGCTCCAAGCCCTCACTCAGCATACCCAGCCCTGTGCCTGGCACGTGGAGGCATTGTGTTGTATTGATCTGACCCACAGTCCCTCCACGACACAGAGGCCTCCGTGTCTCCATGGGATGCTCCTGGTCCCAGTGACCGTGGGTATCTCCCTTATGTCCTCCCTGATTCCAACGCAAGGGCCTTACAGGTCTCTCTTCTTTGGTCTCTGACACCATCTGGATTTTGCTCTGGCCAGAGGTTGGTGGCCAAAGAAGTTCCCTGCTTCTCCTCTCTGTCACCTCCTTTCAATAACAACACAAGTGATACCATTATGCTACACAATGAAACACCGGTGATATGTAACACATACTTATTCCACTGTACAATAAAATTATATAAAATGGGCTTGGCGTGGTGGCTCACGCCTGTAATCCCAGCACTTTGGGAGGCTGAGGTGGGTGGATCACAAGGTCAAGAGATTGAGCCGGGCGCGGTGGCTCAAGCCTGTAATCCCAGCACTTTGGGAGGCCGAGGCGGGTGGATCA